AAAAAAAAAAAAAAAAAAGAGACAAAAAGAGTGTCCCAGGAAGTAGTATTTTCCCAGGTAGTGTGTAGGGATTTCTAAACAGGTCATTCTAGGAGTTGTGAGGCAGGTCAGACTCTTAATAACAATGCCTTCCTTTTTCTTCTATTCCAGTTCTGCCTTCATAGTTCTTTACCCCAAAACTGCAGAAAATGAACAAATTCCAGGTGAGTTGTTTTTTTATTCCCCACTTTGTTTTTCAGTGCATTTGAGGATGCTTATTAGGATCTGGAAAATGAAATAGAAAAGTATAAATGAATAAAATTCAAGGAAAACATTGTAAAATTAACTGATCGATACCAGCAGCCAAAAAGCAAACTGAATTAATTAAGATTCATTGGTTATGAGTGCCAATTCCTTGGTTCTCTATATTAGGTCTAAATAAATACCACTTCATATAGGTGATATTTTGGACAGCATCCCCAGAAACAACCAAAATTGAATGAGTTATCAGTTTGTCTTTGGTTTTTTTCATACAGCATTCTTCAGTGTAAGTGCAGAGTACTGTTGTATGTATTTTGTTTTTCCAATCAGATTAGCATAATGCCAGAGAACTCAGTAAATATGTGGGTATGTATTTAAATTTTCTCCCAACCCCCTACAGGTACCATTGTCATTACTTTCTTGAGTAGCTTTCCAGAGTTTATTTGTACATATTTATGTAAGTGCAAATATAGATGCAAATATAAGATAGCATATTAATCATACTATTCTGTTTATATTCTGTTTTTAATTAACAGACATCATTTTTAAAGCAGTTTTGGGTTTACAGAAAAATTGAGTAGAAAGTACAGAGTTTCCATATGCCCCTTCACCCCCCACCTGCCCTCCATAGTTTCCCCTATTACTGAGATCTTGAAAAAAAAATCTTGCATTAATGTGGTATTCTTGTTACAATTGATGAGCCAATAATGATACTTTAAATGAAGTCCATAGTTTACATTAGGGTTCACTCTTTGTGTTACACATTCCGTGGATTTTGAAAAATGTGTAATGACATATATCTTCCCTTGTGGTGTCATACAGAATAGTTTCAATGCCCTAATAATCCCCTGTGATCCACCTATTTATCCCTTCCTCCCTTTCCCTAAGCCCCTGATATTTTAACCACTGATCTTTTTGTTGTCTTATCTTCCTGGTTTTGCCTTTTCCAGAGTGTTGTATAGTTGGATTCACACAGTAGGTAGCCTTTTAAGATTGGTTTCCTTTACTTAGAAACAGGTACTTAAGGTTCCTCCATGTCTTTTCATGGCATGATACCTCGTTTTGTTTTAGCACCGAATAACGTGCCATGATGTGGGTGTACCACCTTTTGTTTATCCCTTCACCTATTGAAAGACATCTTAGTTGCTTCCAAATTTTGGCAATTATAAATGAGGTGGCTATAAACATCTGTGTGCCGGTTTTTGTGTGGACGTAAGTTTTCAACTCATCTAGGTAAATACCAAGGGCCATATTGCTGGATCATATAGTAAGAATTTGATCAATCTTACAAGAAACTGCCAAAATGTCTTCCACGTGGCTGGATCATTTTGCATTCCCACCAGCAATAAATGAGAGTTCCTGTTGCTGCACATGCTCACCAGCATTCAGTGTTCTCAGTGTCCTGGATTTGGGGCATTTTAATAGGTGTGTAATGGTATCTTGTTTTGATTTACAATACCCTGACGACACATGATGTCAAGCATCTTTTCATATGCTTATTTGCTGTCTCTTTATCTTTTTTGGCAAAGTATCTGTTCAGACAGTTTGCCCATTTTTTAATCAGGTTTGTTTTCTTATTTTGAGTTTTAAGAGTTATTTGCATGATTTAGATACAAATCTTTTATCAAATATGTGTTTTGTGAAGATTTTCTTCCAGTTTATTGTCTTCTCAGTTTCTTAATTATGTGTTTTTTATCACTCAATAACATCTTTCCATATCAGAGCATAGTTTCCTCATTCTTTTTTTCCTAATTTTTTTGTGTAATGTAACATATATACAGAGCAGTGTATAAAATATTATAATACTCTATATGTGTTACAACAGCACGTGTAACAAGTATGTATTACAGTAAAGAGTAAAAAAATGGGTACCCATGTATGCACCCAGGTTAAAACAGAAAGTTCTCTGTTCTTTATGACACATTCTCTGATTG